GTTGTTGACTCCATCTCGAGGCAAACCACTATTTATTGTATAATAGCGCACTAGTGTTCTTCTCAAGAAACAATAAAATTCCAGTGGATCAAAACATATTGACATCAAATATTTGGTGGTTAGAGACAAAGTCAAGGAATGGCAGACGAATATAGAGCATATCAATACAGAAGCGATTATTGCAGATCTTTTGACTAAGGGACTCGTTCCTAAAGTTTTTACGACACATGTTGCTTATATGGGTATTGTGGAAACTTTTGATATTTTTGGTTAGTGAGAGTTATTTATGTAAGGCAACCCATATACTTTCGGGTACAACCCCTTTCAATAATAAAATATATCTTCCCATATCCATAAATTATTTTGAACATGCATTTGACTTATGTCTTTTATTATGATATTATTTTGATATCGAGATAAGACAATTAAAGACAGAAGATGAGTCTCTTTTAGAGACATGTGGCTTCATTTTTATTAAAAGCATTTTGAGGATCGATTTGAATTAGCACAGTTTTTAGCACATTTGGTGTTAAATTCATACTGCATACTATCACATTGGTTGGAGGATGGGGATCCATTTCGATAAGGATGTTGTCATTTGTAGCTGTGGAGTGGTCTTACATTGTTTGATTGGTGTAACGACTTCAATGTTCGATATTAACATTCTTGTTGGACCGGATCATGTTGTGTAAGGTGTTATCATTGCAGTTATACTTGTGTGGCTACCTATGTAGTCTGACCCGGAGGTTAAAAGTTTTATTCTATAGCAATCAAATGTTTGCCCAGTGGGAGAATGTTAGAATAATCCTATTATGTGGGCTTCCATTTGATTGCGAATTTTATGGGTTAGATGTATGATTTGTAATGATACTGTGATTAGACCTAATATGTTAATGATCATGTGAGCCATTGTACACCTTACATGCTTTATTATTTATAATGTGATAATTTTAAGTATGTGGGCCAAAATTAAGTAAACCCTAATTAGGGTTAGAGTCGGTAATGTGCCAACTTTATGATTTCCTATATAATGGCTATGTCTCATCTCCTCTCTATATGTTTTTGGCTTGCCCCGTTGACGGTCGATTATTTTTGAGGAGCAAGGAGATGAAGATCGAGCTGGTAATATTCACACACACACAAAATGTTTTCCGCATGTATAAATTGGAACTATCAATTGATATATGCG